AGTGTGGTTGCTGGGGCCAGTGGGGGCCCACAGGGTGCCGGCCTCATCCTGGCTGCCAGCGCTCCCTGCCCGCTCCCTGCCTGCTCCCTGCCCGCTCCCTGCTCACTCCCTGCCCGCTCCTCGCCCACTCCCTGCCTACTCCAGCCAGGGGACCAATGGCACCATGCATCTGGCCGGGATGGATCTGATAGTTTACTCTAGTAATACAAGACCGATTATAAATCTTTTCATCCCATTAGCTTTTCTTTGAATTTGGATGTTCACGTGTCAAAGCAAATTATTTAACTAGTGCTAAGCTGGGCTGCAAGGACACTACATTTTCCCCCAGTCTGGGAAAATGTGAAAAGGGCTTGGCCATGCCCTTGCCCTCCCTCCTGCCCAGCTCTGCCCTCCCCAGGAGCTGAGCGTCTCTGCTTGCTGCTGTGCCAGTGGGGCTGCTGGTGCCCCATCCTTTGCAGGGAGTCCCCTGGGGCTGAGATGGACCCGGGAGGTAGTCACAGCCAGAGGCCCCCTGCAGCGCTGCAGGAGGGAGCTGTGCCTGCCTTGTCCTGCCAGGAGGGGACACCATGCCAGCCCCACACTGTGGACACCACCTCCCAGTGCCACGCCTTGCCCGGCTCCTTCCTCACCGTCACCTTCTGCTTCGCTTGCAGGAGCCTGATGCCGCGAACGCTCGACAGCCAGATCACAGTGGAGAAGACCCCCAGCTACTTCGTCACCAAGGAGGCGCCACGTCGAATCTTCAACATGTCCCGGGACACAAAGCTGATCGTGGTGGTGAGGAACCCGGTCACCCGGGCCATCTCGGACTACACACAGACGCTCTCCAAGAAGCCAGACATCCCCACCTTCGAGGGGCTGTCCTTCCGCAACCGCAGCCTGGGGCTGGTGGACACGTCCTGGAATGCCATCCGCATTGGGATGTACGCCGTGCACCTGGAGAGCTGGCTCCAGTACTTCCCCCTCTCCCAGATCCACTTTGTCAGCGGGGAGAAGCTGATCACGGACCCAGCCGGGGAGATGGGCAAAGTCCAGGATTTCCTGGGCATCAAACGGGTTATCACAGACAAGCACTTCTACTTCAACAAGACAAAAGGTTTTCCTTGCCTGAAAAAGTCGGAGAGCAGCGGCTTGCCTCGCTGCCTTGGCAAGTCCAAAGGCAGGACTCATGTGCAGATAGACCCCGAGGTGATTGAGCAGCTTCGGGACTTTTATAGACCTTATAATATCAAATTCTATGAAACAGTTGGGCAGGACTTCAGGTGGGAATAAGCATCTGGGAGCAGAGCCACGGTGACGTGAGGCTGCAGTCTTCCATGAAGGGGGCCCAGGGGGGCTGGAGCCAGGACCATCCTGCCCAGAATCTGTGAGCAGAGGCAGGCGAGGCACTTCCCCAGCCCTCGGGAGGCTGGGATGCTCCAGGGAGAGCTGAGATGGGGGAAGACACAGAGTCCTGCCGCAGCCACTGAGGGATGGGTGCCCGGCAGGCCCTGCCTGTCCCAGCAGGTCAGCGGTGCCGTGGCTCGCTCCATGGGGTCTCATTTGCTTGGGGCCACGGTGATGGCCCCGTCTTGCAGCCCATTTGCAGGCTGCTCCAAGGCACATCCCTCCTCTGTGTCCCAAAGCAAAATGGTGCTGCTGAACACCCCCCAACAGTGAGCAGCAGCCGTGGGGCTGCCCCACGGGGCTGCGTCCCCCCACGGTGCTGGGGCGGGCAGGGCTCTGGCCGCTCCGCTTTGCCTTTCGTCACTTAAGCGCAGTGTGTAACCATGAGGACAGTGAGATGTATCTGCTTGAAAAAGAAGTCTATGAAAAATGTTGTACCGATATTTTGTCCTGTGAATAAAGCACAGAATCCTGCTGTTACGGGTACTTTAGTGGCACTAGTGTCCTTGTTCAGCATGTGACCCCTTTGTGTAAATAAAAGCGGCTACCACTGGTCCGTATGCATGGGCTTTTCTTAGGGCAAGGCTGGGCAGCCCCGTGCTGCACCGCTGCTGGGCAGTGCTGCCGGGGGCCAAGCGAAGCCCCACCGCACCGAGGCAGCGGGCATGGGGCTCAGGGCAGGACGGCGAGGAGGGGATCTGTCGCGCAGCCCTTGCAGGGGTGGTGGCACTGCTCCAGGGACCTGTGGCACAGCCCTTGCAGGGGTGGTGGCACTGCTCCGGGGACCTGTGGCACAGCCCTTCACAGGGGTGGTGGCACTGCTTGGGAGTGCCAGAGGACCCCAGGGTTAATGCTGCCTCCTGCCAGGCACCAGGGGCCGGATGCTGCATTAGACACAAGCAGCAGTAATTTATGGTTGAACGTAATGGGCTGTTCTATAGGACCCCACGATTACACTGAAATGTCAAGTGCTGCACGCTTTGCTGGATGCCCCCCCCGGCCTGTGCATGCCTCCCGTCACATTAGTCATGGTTGTCCTCTGATTTACCTGCCCGGCGGCTGCAGCCGGCCCCGGCGGAGGTGCTGCACCGCGGGCTGGCTCTGCAGGCAGCCCCCCCTGCCCTGCCCCAGCTGCACGAAGCAGAGCAGCAGAGGCAGCCCCCGCAGCGGGCACTGGGGAGGTGCCTCGAGGTGTGCATGCAGGTGCACGCACAAGGTGCAGCTCCGACACCAGCCACAGCACGACCAGAGCTGGGAGCTGCCACACCTTCTCCAAGCAGGGCTGGAGAAGAGGCCCCCGTGTCTCCCTGATGCACCCCAGCACCAGCCCGGCCGTGGTCCCTGAACGCAGCCAAGCCCTGCAGCACTGCGGTGTCCGGCAGCGCACAGGCAGGCACCCCTCATCCACCCTGGCTGGCCAGCCCTGGCGCTGCCCCTCCTGCAAGCACTGCACTGCTCCCCACACCTCGCTGAGCTGAACCCAGGACCAGCCACCCTCTGACTGCCGGCACCTTCGGGGATGGGGAATTCTCCCAGCTCAGCATTCTGTCTGGAGCTGAGACTGATGGGCTGTATCCTCGGGTGCTCAGAGCTGGGTGCAGCATCGCTGTGCTCCCAGCTCAGCGCCGCTGTGCTCCCGGCTCAGCAGGTTGGGGGCAGCCGGGGGCTGGGGGCCCAGACAGCTCCTGCAGGGCTCGGCCGCAGGGGTGAGCCGTGGATCACTGCGCTGGCATGGTGCTCCCGGCTCAGCAGGTTGGGGGCAGCCGGGGGCTGGGGGCCCAGACAGCTCCTGCAGGGCTCGGCCGCAGGGGTGAGCCGTGGATCACTGCGCTGGCACGGCCGGGCAGCGCGGGGTCCCTGCCTGCCAGGAGAGTGCCCACTCTGGGGATGCACACGTGTATCTCCATCCCATCCTGCAGTAATCCATCCTACGAACCTGTTAGCAGGCCCTGTAATGAGCAGCGCTGTTCATGAATATCAATAACAGCTCTTGTTGGAGCAGTGTTATTTGCCTTTCCGAGTGCTGGACTGCTTGAATCATCTATTGATTTTTGTAGTAAATCTCAGGCGTTTCTGTCAAAGGTTGCAATTTACCACTAGCATCTAAATCTCAGCAGCCAGACGGGCTGGGAGGCTCCCACCGCATTTGCCAGCACAGCATGGGTGCCATGGTGGGGCTGGTGCTGGGGCACTGGCAGCTCTTAGATCCCCACGTGCTCGGTGGCCGAGCAGCCCAGGGTAGAACAGGACAGGGACAAAAGCCGCTTCCCAGGCCCCCTCCGCCCACTGCCAGGGCGATTCCTGGCCAGCCCTGCTCACACTCATCCTCCAGGAGCGCCAGGGCCATGGGGAAGGTGCCTGGGGAGAGCGGCAAAAGGGTGGGGGGCTCCTCCCAGGCGGTGACCCAGGAGGGCACTGTATCACCCTGCGGTGGGGGGAGCACAGGCGCCCACCAGAGCTGGTGGGTCACAGACACAGGCTTATGGGTGTGTTTCACTCTGAAACCCGTGCTTTCTGCTGGGGCTGCACAAGGCAAGTGTAGAACGGGGGAGATCAGCCCAAGCCCAGCCTGAGCAGCCACTTGGCTGCCCGCACCCTGGGGACACACTGGTGCAGGGGCTGTGACCAGTGCTCAGGAAGGGGGCATGGCTGGGCTGGAGCAGGGGTTCAGTCTGGGAGAAGGCTGCTGCCCCCGCCTTGTGCTCCAGTGCTCCCTGTGTGCACCACAGGCTTCCCTGGGATGGGGTCAGCACGGGGCTGCCGGAGACCCCGGGCCAGTTGTTGATGTGTTGGGGGCCCCACGCCAGCAGGGTCAGGGCACAGGCGACCATGGGGAGCCGCGGCCCCTGGCTCCCTCCGTCCTCTGGCACGGGGCTGGGGATGCTTCGGAGACATGCATGGTGGCCATGTGGGGATGCAACACAACCATGGACCAGTTTAAGAGGCCTTACTGGAAGTGATTTCTGTCCAGCAAGTGCTAATAGGAAAAAATTGGAGGTAATTAATGGCCATCTAATAGAGCCCTATCTGCACTGCAGCTTTGGAGCAGCAGCCACGGGAGCTGCGGGGGGAGCCAGCAGCGAAGGCACCCAGAGCCAGCTGTGGGCAGGCGGAGGGAAAGCAGGGGATTAATGGCCATCTACAGGAAGATGGGATATTTTCTTGTATGATTTCTCCTTTAAAGAAGAAAAACATTCACAGCGAGACTCACAAATCCCAGCCTCGCAGTAGAAAAGCCATTTCCAATCCACTCCGAGGAGGCAGAAGGTGCTGGGTTAGATTGATCCCCCTGACAATGCTGTAGTAGTGGGAAATTAGAGCTGGAGCCTGAGGAAACCGCTGCAATATCAAACAATTACTTTACATTTGTCCTTACAAATGGAGGGAGCAGAAATGTTCTTAAATCAAGTATTAGATTTCCAAAGGGTAAGCAAATGAGGGCTCAGGAAGGGCTGTGCTGAAAATGCTTATCACAGTAGGAGCTCTTAAAACGTGGTTTAAAAAGCCTCGGAGTAGACGATCTGCATTCTGAAGAGGCAGGGAGGGGTCTTTGGTCAGGATGCTGAGCAGCGCTGGTTTGGTGATGCCAACGCCGAGCAGAGGGGCTGCCCCCGCTTGGCCAGCCTGGGTCCTCCCCATCATGATTGCCCCCAGCCAGGGTCCCCAAAATGCCTCT